TGGTGGTTTTTTGCTGCTCATATGCTCTTTACATAGAGACAGGGCCCAATTCTGCCCTCAGTTACATGAGTGCAAGGCCTATAGACTTCCACCCATGTCACTGAAGCCAGAATTGGTCTCTTATAGATTAAGATATGTGATCCATAAACTAGGCCTGACTTTAGGCAGACTAGCCCAGTGCCAGTGGAGAACAATATAGCGGAGATATTTGTGTACCTGAAACTGTGTGGAACTATGAAAGGAAGATGTGTATGAAAGGGTTTAATGGAGTGCAGCCAAAATATTTCAGTTTACAGGGATGTAAATTAGTTCAGTTTGACCAGATTTAGCTTGATTGCTTATAAAAAGGGCTGATGGGTTGAGGAAACAATTAAAAGTTACAAATGATCCAGAAAGAAAGTTAGTGCATCATTAAAAATGAAGACTGCTATTAATTCTAAAACAAGATTTAGTCAAACAGATGTTGAAGAGGGAACTACCGTCTAAACAATTTGGACAGTGTAAGTCCAAAAATGGTACAAGAAACAAAACACACAACCATTTGCCAGAGCCAGCATAACAGGAGTTACTCACCATTGGGGCACCCCTTGTGCCTGCATCTGGGAATTAGCTCTGCCCAGTCTGACATCCCCTTCCTTTGCTCGCTCATGCCATGGCCCCTCTTGCTCTCTAGGAATTGCAGTGCTTTGTCTTTGTGGCTTGGCCCATCAACCAGATCACTATACAGTTTTCCCCCTTCCAGGGTAAGGAAGTCTCTCCGGAGTAGCTTTCCAGATGCCATTCCAGGCAAGTCTTCCCACTCTCCTTCCTACTCTGCCCTCCACAGGCTTTTTTCTCCAGCTTCCTCAGGGGTCAGGATCCCAGGGCTTCTGCTCCCCCAATAGGTTTTCTTCTTCTCTCCTCCCTATACTTAGAAAGTGACTGCAAACTTCCACGCTGTAGCCCCCTTCTGTTCTCCCTTCCTGGCTTTATACAAGCCCTGCCTACTCCTGCCCAAATGGGCTCCATCTTCAATTAATGCTTGTTAGTCAAGCCTAAGTCTCCCTCCAGGTGTAGCCTACTAGGTTAATTAGCCCCTTCTGAGCTACCTTACCCACCTTCATGGGTGGTGTGTGGTGAATACCCCTCACAGCCAGCAACCAAAGTAAGCAGTGTAAATATATTCAAGAAGAAGTGGGACATGTTTCAAAATCTCACAAGGTTATAAGGACCCTAAATTGACTTGGATGGGTTAGGGAGAAGTTCTAGGATGTTTCCAGAGTCAATAAAAACTGGCTATGAAATGATGGTAGATCTGTATCTTCTTTTGTCTGCTAGACATCCTGTATTTAGCACAGGGAGAGCCATAATACAGAAATCTTTAATTAAAGTGAGTGAGCTGAGGCCCCAAGGCTGAAGAAATTTACAAACTGTTGACTTAAAAGTGACCCAGCTTCTCCTATCTTTTGATGTACAACTCAGACACAGGAGAAAGAGGCTGAGTTTGTATCTTTAGGCAAAGACTTACAGATCGGCAGGAGAGATTTCAGATCTGGAGTCCACCTTCTCCGGTTGGGACCTTCCGATAGCACCAAAACCCTTACTTGACAGCTGCCTCTTCACTATATTGTTTTTTAGGTGGATTAACCTTGACAACACCTCCATGGGGTGATCTGTAACTTGAAAATGTTTTTCCTCTAATAATATATTATTACTACGTGTGCTGCGTTTCTTGGGTTTTGCCTACTGTTTCCATTTTGCCTTCTCATTAAGCATTGTTTCAAGAATATTTTTATGCTATTTTGGTTTTCAGCTGTTCTTCTCAACAACTAGTATCATAAATGCAGGCTCTCAGGAGGAGAATATATTTAACAGCACTCAAACAGGTTACATTTTATTTTCAAATCACAAATCAATCCAATTTCTATTTGAACCAACCAGCCTCTCCACCATCTAGTGGTTGCCCGTATGGTGTTGATGTTCCAACGAGCAGGTAAGCCCTCTGTGATGATGAAGAAGTTTGACATCGACTCACTTTGTGTGCCAGGTTTAACCAACAGGTTTTGTATTGACGTCAGCAACAGATTCTCGGCTCTAGCTAATCTGCCAGACGACGTGGAGGTTGCCTGGTCCCTGTTCACTTCTACCCCCAACCAATCTGCTGAGCAGACGATTGGCTATAGGCATCCAGCACGCCAACTCTGGCTATCGGAGGAGGTCTTCCAGATAATTAAATTGAAGGCCACAGCCCGCCAGCGTGGTGATAAGGGCACTTGTAATCAGCTGAAGCGAAAATTTAACACCCTGGCACTCCGCGATCACGAGGCATATTGTTAACCAAGTGGCGGATGATGTCGAATTTGGCTTAGCCAGGGGCGACTTGAAGCTAGTATTCCGTGCCATTCGCAACCTCAGTGGTCGAGAGGTAGTCCCTACAAATGGCATCCTGAATGACAGCCAAGGCCATCCATGCAAATTGGATGATGACATTCTCTCATGCTGTGTGGAACATTATCATAGTGTCCTGAATCATCCTTCAGGTGCGCTTATTCAGAGCTGGATGATCGGGCAGTCACTGCAGTTCTGGATCCAGACAATTGTACTGATGCACCAACATTAGATGAAGTGAAGTGTGCCATCTCTAAACTGAAAAAACGGACGCACAGCCGGTGCCGATGGTATCCCCTCAGAGCTGCTATAATGTGCTATTGATCCTGCAGCAGAATCACTTCTGGCCATCTTTTGTCTGGTGTGGAACCCTGCCAACCGCCTGGAAGGACAGTATTTTGATCTCACTCTATAAGGGCAAGTGACCGTGCAGTGAATGTAAGAGCTACAGGCCGATCACCTTGCTCTCCGTTCCAAGGAAGGTGTTTGCGCATGTTTTGCTGGCACGCCTGGAGCCTTTGCTACACCGGAAGCATCATCCCCAACAGTCAGGCTTTACGAGGAACAGGTCCACATTAAATGCCATTTTGGCCCTTGGCTTGTTGTCAGAGATACATTGTGAGTTCAGAAAGCCCCTGCATGTAGCGTATGTTGATCTTAAGGCTGCATTTTTGATTCAGTAGACTGTGTCACGTTATGGAAGGCCTTAAAGGGCGTAGGTGTCCCTACCACTCTGCTGGACTTGATTAGAGAGCTGCATAACGGAACCACTGCCCGTGTTAGTCTGGGGAACCGGATGTCAGTGCCTTTTAAATCAGTATCTGATGTTAGGCAGGGCTGCGTTCTGGCCCCTGCACTCTTTTGTCGGGCAATGGATTTCGTAATGCAGCATTCCATCAGGTCCACAGGCATTGAGATCGGTGATCTCTCACTCACAGATCTTGACTACGCTGATGACGTTGTTCTTTTAATACAGAGTCCCAACAGGTTTCGTGAGGCACTCCAGCATATGGAGGAGGAGTCAGCTAAGATTGGTCTCAATGTTTCATGGTCAAAGACAAAACTGCAAAATTTAGGACCTGGTCCACCCATGACTCCAATCTCCTTGAACAATGAAACCATCAAATCAGTTTACAGCTTTTGCTATCTGGGTTCTATACTTACCAACTCCTCCAATTCTCACATGGAGGGTCTTCATTGGATTGGCATCACAGCATCTGCCATGGGCTGTTTACAACGGATATGGAATCAACATCTTAGTATGACAACCAAGTTCAGGATTTATTCAAACTGTATCCTTCCCATACTGTTATACGGCTGCAAAACATGGACACTACGCCACACAGATTGGACAAAGCTGGAGGCTTTCCACACAAAATGTCAACATAGTATATTGGGCATAAAGTGGGATGACTTCATCTGTAATACAGATGTTCATGGTCGTTTGGGTCTACAGACTACTGGGGCCATTGTCTGCAGGCAGCGCCTTATGCTTTTCGGACATGTCACAAGGATGCCGCAAGACGTTCCAGCAAACATCGTTCTTCAGGTGGTTTGTAACATTTGGGATAAAATTCCACCAACCAAGGGGTGGAGGTGGCCCAGAGGCAGACCCCCTATTACATGGGTTCACCAAATCTGTTCCGATGTTGTACTCTCAGGTCATCAAGCCTTTGTGGTTGCGCAGGAACAGACCAAATGGCGAACGATCGCTATGGCCGGTTGTCTGGCTAAGCGTTGAAGAAGAAGAGGAGAAGCCTCTCTCTCCAGAGTTGGTATAAAATACCTTCTTTGAATATTTATAAAATACTGTGTAATTATATTTGCATTTATGTAACAAATTTACAGTAATGTTAATTTAAACGTGTCTGAAATACTTGATGTCCTGGATTCTTCCCAAGTATAGATATGAGAAACACGAATTTGTATCTAAAAACTAATACTAGTACAGTGAATGTAATGGATAAAGTAAGAGAACTTGTGGGGCTAGATTTTTTTTTTTCTTTTTGTTTCTTAAGTGGGCACATAGCTGGATTTCTGCACATGCAAAATCTCCTGATATACACACTCTTATTAGGATTGTGCATGCATAGTTGTGTGCAAGTATAAATCCTGACTTCTCTGTGTACACTAGGGTCTTGGGCATGCAAGTTAGGGGTGCAAAAAACTGCCTGTGCCCTTTTAAAAATCTGCCTGTTGGGACCTACATCCAGTTCTGCTACTGATTCACTGTTTGATTTGGATAAGTCACCTCACCTAACCTCTCCATCTCAGTTTATCAATTTGTTTCAATGATTATACTCACTTGCTTAAAATTATACATATGCTTAAGTGCTTTGCTGGATTGGGGCCATTATGCTTGTGTATCTTTGCAGGATGTTTTGAGGTTGAACTAATCTTTGTAAATGGTTTCCAAATCCTTGGATGAAATATTCTATGCAAGTACAAATTGTTTCTGTGCATCTCTGCTTGCAAAATAATCTCATCTCACTGATGCAACAGAGTAGCTACTGTCTCTGATATTGCTTACGTGAACGGGCCTGATCAGAACAGGAAAGCTGAAAAAAAACCTGTTCTCTTGTATGACAAGTCTTATTATGTTCCTGATAAGAATGCTTCACCTCACTTTTCAGATTCAGAGGGAAACCTATATCAAAACAACCAGCTGCTACAGATAACACTGACCATGCACAGAGTTATCATCCCCTCTGAGGATGTGCTCCGAAAACTAATTGATCTATATCCTTTATAATGCTTACCTGTAGTTATTAAGGTAAGGTAATACAGAAATACATTGACAGAATGGTAAGTGTATACAACCTACAGGTCAATATTAATAAATTGGTGCTTTCACCTCTGCATCTCATGATGACTGAAAGGCTAAATTTAGTGCTTAAGAAAAGTCTTCATATTTTAAAACAAACCTGGGAAGATGTTATCAGTGATCTAGGGTAGAAGATATATGGAGAAGGCTTTCCAGAAAATTACATGGCAATTGCAATCTCAGACCCAGTGTTTATAATTATTTATGTACAGAAAAATCTTCATATTATGCTAACCTAGTCTATGTCAGATAATCATTGAAAGATATGCACTAAGTCTTGGATTACCTTCTCCAGGCAAATAAAAGTTAAAATGTTCCAAAAATGAAGTGGGTAAATTTTAAAACAATCCCCAGTCTAATTATCGTATTTTGAGGCCTCAATGTTTTGTGAAAATATATTTTCACAAAATGAGTTTGTGGCCCATCAGATGCTCATAAAAAAGATGCTAAGAGCATGAATATGGGCATAACTGCTCTCTCTTATCTAGAGGATTCATAGCTGTGGAAGATACTGCCTAACTCTATTAGCTTTACTGAATGTTTGTTCATAATTAATGGATCATAACATAATTAGGGACCAATCCTGAGAGACACCAAGCACCTCTTAGACAGGCATTTACTTGGTACAACTTGTTTTAATTAGTACTTCCCCCCACAACGCTAATTTTTATTGGTTTCCAATTAGTATAGCTGTGGAAAACAGACCTGCCATGACAGTAGTCAGACTTCCCTAGATACCCACACTATGCAGCATCCAAGATATCAAGCAGTTACTTTTTGGAGTGTAGAATAAGTGGCATTTAATTTAGGGTCCTGCATTTCCTCAGAAATAACAAGATATGGGGCTCAATTCTCACTTACATTGAGACACTCCCATTTACAGTGTAAACCAAACAAATAGCTGACTTACAGAGGTAACTTGCTTCCCAGGGTCAAGAAAACAATCCTGTTTTCAATCAATAATAACTACAACTGGAGTAGCACCTTTGTAAGTGAAGGCAAAATTAGGTCCATCACCTGTAAAGAATATAGATAGATTAGATATTAAAGTGTGGGGGTTTTGCTCTACAATAGTAGAAACAAAGGGGACTTGATTCCACACCAACCCAAATATACCATGTGATCAATTCTAGAGCCCTCAGTCCTCAATAAATAGAAGTTGGGTTCAAATTCTCTTCAAGCTGTTGCTGACAGCCCCCACTCCTTTCTGATCATTTTTTTTATAATGGTACAAAATAATTGTTTACATCTTCTCTATGGAACTTGGGTTTTCCTGCAGTCAGGGAAGTAATTAATTTGTCAATTTTTAAATTCCACACACTCAGACTTTCCAGCCAGATATAAGTATTTGCAAAGCCAGTGGTGGACTAAAGCAGATTTGAATGGATCAGCTAATCTGGGCTTTGAGGTTTTTGAAGTTGCCTTCAAATTTCCAGCTCCACCACTCTTCATCCCTCAAAATTACATGACCAGCTCTGGTCAACTTGCAGTAGATTTGGGTCACATTTAGATTAATCTGACCCTCCGACAGTCTGTAAATTATCTTCTTTAAATAGGTGCACAATACTTCATAAAGAGGTGCATTTTCTCTCTCTGCAGGAGAAAAGTATTCATAATGCCCATAATATATTTTTCCTGAACTGATCGTCCATATATGTAAATTACCATTTATAGAATAAAAATAAATGTTCTCTTTGCAGTTAATATATATTTCACAGTTCAAAAATATTTCTCTCCAGCATTATCTGTGATAAATCACAACAGTTAACAGGCAGTTCTCCATAAAAATGGTCCTTGATGAATTTAGTACTATTCTATAACCTTTTGCTTATAACCTTTTGTTTCATATGTTAACAAGCTGTATGAATGGACAAGTCCTAATGAAAATTGGGAAGCAAATTACCAAGAAGCAAACTAAAAAGCAGAGGTTCATTTAACTACTTAACACCTCTCAGCACTTGATGAAATACGTCAGTGTTATTTATAACTGTCCTATTTATATCTGTCCTTCACTAATGATTTCAGAAGAATAACATGCATCAAAGCCCTGATCCAATGTCCACGGAAGGCAATGGAGAAGTTCCCACTGGCTTCAATCAGTGAGCATTGGATCAGGCCCCATGAAATACTGAACATGTCAAGTTTCAGATCGTGGATGCAGGGCCGGCTCCAGGCACCAGTGCAGGAAGCAGGTGCTTGGGGCGGCCAATGGAAAGGGGTGGCACGTCCGGGTCTTCGGTGGCAGGTCCCTCAGTCCCTCTCGGAGTGAAGGACTGGCCGCCGAAGAATGAAGCGGTGCGGTAGAGCTGCCGCCGAAGTGCCGCCAATCGCGGCTTTTTTTTTTTTTCTTCGCCACTTGGGGTGGCAAAAAAGCTGGAGCCGGCCCTGCGTGGATGAACTGCCATGTTTTCCTTAACAGTTCTCTACATATCTGGATGCTTTAGAAAAGAAATCTGGGCTTTGTGTAAAGATATGCTATTTTGTAAGGTAAGAATTTTTTGCATAAATGTATCTGTGAAATAAAATAAGTGATACAATTACATGCTAGCAATTACTGTTCAAGCTGGTCATGTGGTGCCACAAATAAGAGTGACTTTGCATTTCTTAAGTTAGCATTCAAAAGAGGAATGATATTCCATAGACTTCCTTAAAGTTTTACTTGCACAGATCTATGCACAATGGCCCAAATGGCCTGGTGCAAATCCATTAAAATCAATGGATGAATTCAGCTACATGTTATGGGTAGATAATTACGACCCTGAGCCTCCAAAAGCCTGAGCGCCCTCAACTTGTATTGACATCACTGAAAGCTGAGAGTGATCAGCAACTGGTTGAATTGGACCCTATGTTACCATACAGTTTTCTCTTTCAAATAAAGCAATGTTGAATACTTGGGCTATATCAATATGAAGCACAACTCTTGATTGCATTCAATAAGGAGTTGTACTTAATCAACTGCAGTATTACCCTAGGAAATTATTTCCTTTTTTCCTTCTATTACATTTAATTTAATGGTTGATATATTAGTTAAAGAATGTTTTTATTAAAGAGTCATCATTTGCCAACAATTTTTGCATAGCACTAATGCTTTCATCAGTACTTAGACCAGAAAATAAATGGTAGATGCGGGCAAATGTTGGCTTTTCAATAGTGACCATTTTACTCCCTCAAAAAGGGGTACTTCATTAATGCAGAATGGTTCAGTATTTTACAGGACATTATGGAATACATTTTCAAATTGTGCACATGTAAAATTCACAAATGCACACACCTACAAGAGAGTGCACATGTCCATTTATTAGAGCAAACCCAGGTTTTGTGTGTGCATGGCTTACAAGCCAAATAAGCTGAATGGAAAGATGAGACCTAATACATGCAATCTGACCACCTCATGTACAAGGCACTATTTCTCAGGAAATATCTTGTACATATCAAGTTAAACTGTATCATCCATAACAATTTCTATTTATTTGTGGGTGGCGGGTTTCCACTCCCCCACCCAATATATAATAAAGAAAAATAATCCTGGAACCAGGCATTGACTTCACTGTCAAACTAACTGATTTAAAAAAACAGTGAGTTTGTTGTAGAATTTGATGGTACAGATAAGCAACATATAAAGAAAAAGTAATAGACTAGATCCTTGGCTTGTATAAATCTGTGTAGCTTTATTGAAGTCAGTGGAGCTATGCTGACTTACACAAGCTGAGGATCTGCCCAATATATTTAAAGGTCTGAGCACTGAGCCAACTCACTGTGTTATTTAATATTTATGTATGTGTAGATACTATGGTGAGATGATCAGATAGGTAGAAGTTTGTCACATACACAGTCATTACAAAGCAATAAGACAGAGTTGGTAGTGTCAGTACAAGTGTTTGATTCTTGCATTATAAACTCTCTATTTGGATAGAACAGTGTACTTTGGAGAAGGTACTTTGAAGCAAAATTTAAAATCTGAGTGACCAAAAGAGCATAGAAGTTATAAACCAGACTGGATGTTTGCCTTGCAGCATTACTGGTGTTTCAGTTACACAAATAACCAGCAAAATTCTTTATTTTATTATTCTATTTTCCATTCACAATAGGTATTGGATAACAGAGTTCTGGATCATGTTCAAAATGGATTCTAGTCTAATTAACACCATGGAGGAATTTCAGAAATTGGTGAGAGCTAATGGTGAGGAGTTACACTGTCGCCTAATTGACACAACTCAAATGTGAGTGTCAAGGTTTTAATATGTTTGGAAAACAAAACAATATTGCCATCTCACTTCCCTAAAATAATAGTAACCAATCTCCAACAGCTAGATTAGGAATATTTCCAAGTGTCTGATATTAGCAATGTGCAAAAGATTTCAGTTTACTGAGGGTGAAATTTACCCCTGTGCAGTGGGCCAGCATGTGACAATTTAAGTCCCATTAAAGCTCTCAAAGTATGGCTTCAATTTAACTTAATTGTTGCAGAGATCTTGTGCCGACCCTCTGCACAGGGTAAACTTCACTCTAAGAAACACAGAAGACTTTAAGTGAAGAAAGATTTTGAAAGACTTAATTCCTTGAAAGGGCAGTGAGAAAGGAGAACACATTTTACTCAGAGTGTACATGATGTAAAACAGTGGACTTTTTAAAAGCCAAAATTCAGGTCACTAGGGAGACAATATAGGATTCATTTCATTATGTCTAATTCCTAATGTTATTTTATGTGTTGTTGCTGGTCTTATTATCTGGTCAAGAATAGATCCCAGAGCACCTAGAAAAATAAAATGCACAGGGGCTGTATCTCACGTGGCTCTCTCCTGAGAAGAGAGACTTCCCATTTTTAAATAAGAGTGAGAAACAGGCAGCAGAATTTGACCCACAATTTATAGCTGGCCATAGAGTATAAGCAGCTGCCCATGAAGACAATAAGGGGCAATAACAAGGCATAACGGACAGACCAAATCCTGTTGCCACTGAATCCCATTGACTTTAATGGAACTGGGATTTGATCCAATGGATACAGCAAACTGGAGAGAGTTAAGAACAACAATGCTGAGGAGATATCACTATGGCTGTATTCTTTTTCATAATGTAATTTTACTATATTTAAAGGGTACTTTAAAAATGCATGCTAAAAGCATTCAACAGGACTGTTGTCATAATACCTTTTATTGGCCCAACTTCCAGTAAAAAAGATATTACCTCACCCACCATGTCTCTCTAATATCCTGGGACCAACATGGCTACAACTACACTGCATATGTCATAATATCCATCATTCATAATGAATATAAAGAAATTGTTCTTTTGAAATTCAAATCATTCATTCGTTTTCAACTGCAATAAATCATGCAACTGATGCAACCATGTTTTGGGGGAAATGTAAATTAGTTTTCCTGCAAAAATCAACCTCCATTTTAGTGTAAACCTTTTCCTATTTTTTATAAAAAGAAATTCCCGGGATTGGTCCCGAAAGCTTACACAGCGGATAAAGCCCAACACCAGTAAGAAAAGGAAAGTCTCACTTCTCTTTGATCATCTAGAGCCGGAAGAGCTATCAGACCACCTCACCTACCTTGAATTTAAGTCCTTCCGAAGAATATCAGTAAGTGATCAGCTTTTGGCTAGGAAAAAACAAAACTACTAACTTTCTGTGCATGCGGTTGGACTCACTTTCATCCTGGTCCTTACTTTGTTTTTTCAAAAAGTGTTTGTATTGGATCAGGGGAGCTAGCAGTGGAGAGGGCAGACAGTTTTGACCCCCTTATGTTCAGACAGTAGGTTGGGTCAAGAAGGAGAGGTTGAGGAACAAGCTATCTCCTTTCACTCAAAACAGTGTTTAAGCTGATGCAAGTGGCATGGGGGGGGGGGGGGGTGACTGGAGAATGGGGAGAGCAAAGCATTGCAGGAGCTAGGCTGCCTGATTCTGTCTCCCTGGGGTACTCACCCCACTATGACAGCAGAGGGGTGCTGCAGCACTTCTTTACAAGGGCTCCTGGAGAGCCCTGAAACCCCTTAAATATTGAAGTAACACTTTGTTTTAAACAGGCCAATTGGGGCTGTAACTGACTGTCTTTTTTTCTTTGTCACACTAAAGAAAAGGCCAGTATGGTTTGATATTCTTTATGTGTCAAACGAAAAAAGAGTGCACAGCGGGTTCAAAGCAGCAAGGAAGGGCAGTGTGTTTGTGGGTATAGCTGATCCTTTCCCCACCCCGGAAACGTGTACAATACTGGTATGAAAGCTGCTGAGATAAGATGCATAGCTAAAAGAACAAAGAGACTCATTTTTTGGATGGTATCACTAGAATCTGAAGTGTAAGTTTTGCAGTTAGAGGGATGTTGAACAGATTGCAAAAAAAATCTCTCCTAGTCATGCATCAGTACACTTTATTTTAAGCTCCAGGTACGTGACTCCTCATGTGTTATGTTAAAATCTAACAGCCTTGGGACTGAAGTCACACATTTACGCATAAGGTCCTACCTGTAGGCAGTAATAATACTTAACGCTTATATAATGCTTAACATTTTCAAAGCTCTGTGCAGATGCTAATTAATTAATGATTAATGGGAATAACAAGTATGATGCACAGTCAGAGTCTTGGTTCCCTCATAGTTCTCAGCCAGTGACTTAGCTGTGTAACATAGGTTCCTGCATACTTTACTAGTGATAATCTGAGATAAAAAATTAGTTCACTGGGACCTTGGTTAGGAAAAGAAAGTGCTTTATCCATTAAACAATGTGATTATTTAACTCCTTGCAGAATGCCTCCCTACTATGGTAGCCTAATACTTGTCCCTGCTATGGGACAGACTATGCAAATTAGATGATGTAATGCTAACATGAGTGTAACTATTCATACATTCACTCATTCTAAGGCTAGCAGTTACCATCAAATCATTAATGTTTCTCTAGTATTTCCTGTATTGGGTCCAGTAGCTTGTCTGACTTCAGCGTATCTTCCAAAAAGGCATTCGGTCTTGGTATTGAGAGAGAGAACCCACCACTTCTCTTGGCAGTTTGTTTCAAAGGTTAATTTCCCTCGCTGTTTTTTTTTAAAAAAAAAAGACACACGCACACCCAACATCTCTCTCTCTCTCTCTCTCTCTCTCACACACACACACCCCCCCAACTGTATTTCTCATTTGAATTTGTCTGGCTTTAATTTCTAGTCATTCCATCTAAATGTCTTAATGCCTGTGTTTAATTCTCTGAGCATGTCCAGTGTGAACAAGATGTTACTATTGGGGGAAAAAAGCACGGGTTTTAAGAGCTGAGCTTTTGAGTTTGATGGAATTATGACAAAATGGTGGGATAACACGTGTGTTTATTCGTAGGGTCTGATAACCTGTGTAGGTCCTAAATCTCGAAATAGCTAAGCCACTTGAACTTCAGGAGATGCTTACACAGAATAAGACTTTTTTTTAGGACAGTGTACTGGTGAACTCAGCTTAATGGTGTTATAAGACTTGGGCTGGTTTCCATTTTACAAAAAATACCCAAGTATTTAGAAATCAGGTCTGAGAGATTCTGGGCCACAATTTTGCCATTTGAATTCCACTTCTTTTCCTAACTAGTTGTGGGATGCAACCTTGTAACAGGATGGTTGTTAGATTCCCCCTCCATAATTATCTAAAAAAGATACTAAGACGGGCTGATAAATTACTGATATTCAAATGCTCTAAGCTGAAAACATCATTGCTCCAATGCTGCAAGCTAGAGCAAGAACAAAATGAGTCTATGCTGTTTTCAGTTGTTTCATTCAGCCTTTATCTTGTTCAGTTTGGGGCAGACGAACTGTGTTTGTTCTTAGTAAAAATACAAGTCGGAGATGAAAAGGTATGTTTATTCTGAATGAAATTAACCTTTATTTGCTCTGTGCAAAATTACTTTCCATTCCAACCTTGTTAAATAACCTTGATAATAAATTCAGACACCAACATTCTTCTGAAAGCTTGTCTAATACATTATATAAAAATGTGCCCAACATTATAGGGAAGTCTTCTGGCATTTTCCAGAAGGGAGAACTTCTGGTAACCAAGATAATCTAATCAAACTTATTAATGATTGTACTGAAACCAATACAAAGACAATAATTATATAGTTAAATCCTGAAAAATTATCCAGCTCTGTAGAGTGGCTGCTTGGGTTCCATGTTACTGCCAAATCTGGCTTTGGTCCAAAATTCAAACAATGGCAGTGAACAGTCTGTAATCTCACAGACAACTCTGCTTATTATTGTTAATATTTCTTCCATTTTTAATTTAGCAAGGGGAACAAAGCAAGGTTGTCAGATGTCATCTCTACTTTTTTTACATGGATTTTGAACTGTTGATAGCTCGTATTAGTAAAAAAACAAAAGAAAGAAAGAGACAAGAAAGAGGCTGTAGGGAACATAAAGCAGCCTTATGAGCTGACAATTTACTACTTTTTATTACAGATCCATCTCTTCCAGTTTCTGTTTTTATAGGCTTACTAGAGGAATTAATTTTCCACTTGGTATAAAATCAAATTTAATAAGTCAGAATTGGTGCATGGGCTGTGGATCTGAGCCTAATTTTTTTTTCACAGTTTGGATTGTTCCAGGCTGAATCAAATACTTGCATAGTAAATGATCCTGAAGTATCAAGGAAATTCAAAAGCTGGACATTGGTTCAATACATGGAATCAGATATCTCCCTTGATCTTGATGAGCAAAGTGCTTTGATAAAGATGAGCATTCTTTCTTGATTGTTGTAACAAATGCAGGTGTTCCCTTACACTTTGGACCATTGTGGTTAAATTAAATACGACATTGTTGCAAGCTACCTGGCAAAATAAGAAGTCACAAGCCTGATTCTGAAATTATGTTGACTTCATTGGAATTGTTCCTTCATTGGAATATTTACACTAGCATAAGTGAGATCAGAATCAGTGCCTTGAGATAAAGTTATGTCTTCCCTAAAATTAAGCTACTTCTCAAGGGCTGGATTGAGCCATTAACCTCACTCTATAACCTTCTCTGAAGGACCACTGAATTAAGTGAATCCATGAAGTTGCTGAAGGTGGGACAAGTACATGTGCCTCTCCTACCGACCAGGGTTAGGAGCTTCTGTGTCAGAAGGCTCAAAGCCAGATTGAGTCTTCTAGACCATCCCAGTTGGGAATGCAGGATTGAAGGCCCTGTATCTCTCCCCACCCTTGTTCCCTTGCTGGTCTGCTACTAAGACTGGTGGACCCCAGGGAATGCTTTTCACACACCTCCTGTTTCCTCCCTCAGACTGGCTTGAGTGCGTGGTTCAGACACGAGTGGCCTTGGCAAGATGCACAGCCACATATTGCAGGTTAATGTAAATTAAAAACTTCTACATCAGACAGGGCTTCTGCATCTTTGTATGGTTACCATGAGCAGTGACCACAAGATGGCTGTAATATTTAGTTAATTCACATCAGTCAATTTCCTTTGGAATGGGTGCATAGAAGAAAACTCAATTTGTTTTCACTAACAGTAGAAGTCAGAAGTTGCTGGACACTAGAATTCTAAATTATGATCACTTCCATACCCCACAAGAACCTCCCTTTGAGAGATCCTATTTCAAAAGATGCTTGCTGCTTACTAACAGCTCTAAATAAAAAAACAACAATATACCTGTCACTTTGCCTTCAAGCACAGCGGAGGAAGGTGAAACATCGGAAGCACTGAGAGAGAATTCCACCACCAATCCATTTCATTAATATGTAACAGTCATAGTACAGATTATGGACTGGATTCTTTGGTTCATCACAGCCACTTTATGCCACTCAGGCAAAGTGAAGTGGACATATTTTGGCCAGAGGTGGCCAGTAGAGAATTCTCCTTATGTGAGGGAAATCTCAACTGGTGTCAAGTTGTCAGAGGCATAGCTTCCTGTTGCACCAGCAGTCCTCCTTTCATCTTTGGCATTATTGCATGCCGGAGGAACAGGATGGGAGCATGGTGGAACGGAGCTTTGCTACCTATATCACAGTGGCATAAGGTCATTTGGGGAGCGTCAGCTGGCTCCCAGACTGAAGCCCCTCTATCTCCCAGTGCTGAGCAGAGCTTAGGGATGGGGGATGATTTCCACCCTATAGATATAAAATACATAACATGTCACTGTATTTTATTTAGCAAGAAGATCTATATCTGCATGCAGGCTTCATGGAATATACAAAGTCTGGATGAGGTTTAATTTTGTTTTTGTTTTTTAGTTCTCAGATTACCAGAATTACATTGTAAACAGCTGCGTAAAGGAGAATCCAACAATGGAAAGGTCCATTGCTCTTTGTAATGGTATCTCCCAATGGGTACAACTAATGGTACTCAGTAGGCCAACACCACAGCTTCGGGCTGAAGTGTTCATCAAGTTTATTCATGTTGCACAGGTCAGTTTCACTTTGACCTTTTTGTTTTTGTCATATGTCCTTAATTTGAAACTGTCAGCCCTTTAATTATTCCTCCTTCACCACTACTTGTACTCTCCAGTGGGATCAGCTGGGAGGGAGAGTTGGCAGTGGTCTCTGTTTTTATACCAAATGATCGAGTATCACCTTATTTTCAACAGCAGTAGGTCTCTCCCTTGAGACCCATATTGTAGACCCATTTGCCCAAAGCAGCTAGACTTCCTTTTGAACCACTCAAGACTTTTCCTTAACCTTCCAGAGGTGTCACCATTTAGAGACCCTATTTGCTAGTGAATTACTGTGATAAAGAGAACATGCTCAAGATTCTCCTGAACAGGAGCATTGAATATTGTTAAAATCTTACCTTTGCACTGAAGAGAGGTATCCTTTGGAGATGCTCTCTGCTTGTAGAATAAAAAGGCTTTTTGTAGAAAGGAAGAGCTCACAACACCCCAACAAATGAGAACACTGCTTGAGTATAAAAATGGAGTAAGATTGTTTAAAAATGGTAACCAAGAATGCTGTGCTAGAAAGGAAATTGTTAGGAACTCTGTAGAACCAACGGTACCTAGGCCCCAGCTAAAAGGGAAAGCATAGTTTGGATGTATACATTTCACAACTTCAAACCTTAAGTAATTGATATTGTTTGTCAATACAGAAGCTCCACCAGTTGCAGAATTTCAATACTTTAATGGCAGTGATAGGAGGTCTCTGTCACAGCTCTATCTCCAGACTCAAGGAAACAAGTTCTTATGTTCCTCATGAGGTCAACAAGGTCAGTATCACTGTCCTTGGTATCATAAACGTACAGTTTAGATACCATCAGGCAATACAGATTGGACAACCTTCAGGCAAACAATTTTTATTCCCTCCCCCCAGCCCATTTACATTTGCAGATTAAAAGATTCCAAATACGTGGTGATGGAAGTGGGGGGAGGGGGAAGATGGGGAGTTGGTGACTTGAGGCTGTATTTTTAAGGATATCTAATTAAAAATCATCTTAATTTGTGAAGCTAAAATCTGAGGGATTAAGTGGTTCAGAATCTGAAAATATTGGTGGATTGCTTTTTAAAATATTATTAAACGGCAGTAATATTTGTGTAAACAGTTGTAAACTAGGTTTCATTTGGCGCCAGAAGATTTAGACCTTTAGGGTTACTTCATTTTGTTTTGTTTTGTTTTATAAATCTTGGCTTGGCTTTCTGGAGGATAAAAACATGTCAGTAAACAATAACATGGGCTGTCTCTATACCATCTGAAGAGACAAATATGTTCACATGAACAAAATCATGAACACAGAAAATGCGATTAATTTTACTACTTTGTTTATTTTCTTTAGGTGTTTAATGAAATGACAGAACTGCTCTCATCTTATAGGAATTATGACAATTATCGACGTGCCTACAATGAGTGCACTAACTTTAAGATCCCAATCCTTGGGGTCCACTTGAAAGACCTGATCTCCCTTTATGAGGCCATGCCAAATTACTTAGAGGACCAAAAAATTAATGTGCATAAACTACAGTCTCTGTATAACCACATAAATGAACTGATACAACTCCAGGAGATGGCACCTCCCTTAGACGCTAATAAGGATCTTGTTCATCTGCTCACGGTAGGTCTGTAAGATCACAGAAACACTGCCTATTTTGAACTGATTTTCATGCATTTCTCAAGTGTTTAAAGCTAAATATATACTTTTCTACAGCTAGTATGAAAAAAAAGTACGGTTTTTAGGGTACAGTAGGGGTTACACAGTAGTCCCGGTGAGGACACGGGCTGTAGGAAAAGGTAGTTGATAATACAGGCTGGTTGGTAGTTTCCTTGGGCTTATTTTTATAGGAAAGAATGAAGACATTTGTCTGTGCTCTCCTACATTAGCAAGCACTGCCTCACTTTTCCTAAGGAGGCACTAACTAGGGGCAGAGCTGCCTTTACTCCCCGGATACACCTGGAAAAATAGGTCTTATAAAAGTCTCCAGGTATGCTGGAGGGGTTTGCTGTGCCTGTTACTGATAGTAGCTGCTGTGTGCTTCAACATGAGAAGGGAGAGGGATCATAAGATGCTATTGGGATAAAGGTACCTCAGTTCTGAGGACTATTTTACTTTACTTTGTGAAGCTGCTGTATGGTAACAGCAAAGATTGTCTGGAATTAGCTTGTGTTTATGTATCGGGGGTAGCCGTGTTAGTCTGTATCCACAAAAACAACAAGGAGTCCAGTGGCACCTTAAAGACTAACCGATAACAGCTTATTTGGGCATAAGTTCACGAAAGCTTATGCCCAAACAAATCTGTTAGTCTTTAAGATGCCACCGGACTCCTTGTTGTTCTTGTGTTTATGGTGGTTCTTTCTGGAATATCTCTGTCAGGACAACGTTACTAGTTCTGCAGGGATGCTATCCAAATTAAATAAGAGATGTGCATGTGTCTCAATATCATTGTTTTAGTCAAAAATGATTAAAGGTCTAGAAAACATGACCTATGTGGGAAGATTTTAGAAATTGGGTTTGTTTAGTTGGAGAAGAGAAGATTGAGGGGGGACATGATAAGTTTTCAAATACATAAAGGGTTGTTACAAGGAGGATGGAGAAAAATGGTTCTCCTTAACCTCTGAGGATAGGACAAGAAGCAATGGGCTTAAATTGCAGCAAGGGCGGTTTAGGTTGGACATTAGGAAAAACTTCCTAACTGTCAGGGTGGTTAAGCACTGGAATAAATTGCCTGGGAAGGTTGTGAAATCTCCATTATTGCACATTTTTAAGAGCAGGTTAGACAAAGACCTGTCAGGGATGGTCTAGATCAGGGATAGGCAACCTATGGCACGCATGCCAAAGGCTGATTTTCAGTGGCACTCACACTGCCTGGGTCCTGGCCACCAGTCCAGGGGGGGGCTCTGCATTTTAATGTAATTTTAAATGAAGCTTCTTAAACATTTTAAAAACCTTATTTACTTTACATACAACAATAGATTAGTTATATATTATAGACTTATAGAAAGAGACCTTCGAAAAACGTTAATGTATTCCTGGCACGCGAAACCTTAAATTACAGTGAATAAATGAAGACTCGGCACACCACTTCTGAAAGGTTGCCGACCCTTGGTGTAGATAATACTTAGTCCTGCCATGAGTGCAGGGGACTGAACTAGATGACCTCTCAAGGTCCCTTCCAGTCCAAGATTCTAGTTGCTCTTAGAGTGTTATCAAACTATGAAGAATTATTAATATGCACTTATTTTTCCCAGGTTGTGCTGTTTATTTTTAGCAGGTTGCAATTTAACAAGATGGGCCAGTTTTGCTTTCAGCTTACAGACCCTGTTTCAGCAAAGCAATTAAATACGTACTTAACTTTAAGCACATAAATAGCTCTACCACTGGGACAACCCATGTGCTTGAAGTAAAACACCTATGTTACTGAATCAGGGCCATAGTCAGTCAGGTTTTCCTACAGAATTTTGCTAAGTACTAAAACAACAAGGAGTCTGGTGGCACCTTAAAGACTAACAGATTTATTTGGGCATAAGCTTTCGTGGGTAAAAACCTCACTTCTTCAGATGCATAGCTATCTGAAACTCCTTGTTGTTTTTGTAGATACAGACTAACACAGCTACCCCCTGATACTTGCTAAGTACTGAATTTCCCCCAGCCCCACCCCTCCAAAAACAAACAAACTTGTAATACCTTGTTTAAAGTGATTTTATGTTCCTAAACTTTCTTATTTTCCATAACATTTTAGCAAAAATAATTTTACACATCAAAAATATATACAACTGCAGCCATTCACAATTTCAGTGCAAAGCCTTGAAAATGGTGGGTGTTTTGTGACTGTATCAGATGTACATTACTCTGGGTTTGCTGTAAGAAGACTTTACAATAGTAGCTTCTCTCTGGCATTCCAGGGCCTGGGGTTAGCCTATTCCTCCCCCAGGCTCATATCAGCCTCCATCCTACTCCTTCCTATTGCCTTTAGTCACCTGCTTTTGCATCAGCAGACATGTCAGTTTGAAGAGGTGGTGGTAATTGCAGGGAGGAGTGACTAATTCATAATGAAAATATTATTTGACAAAATTAGCTTGTTTTGAATTGCCAGAAACCAGTTTCAGATTTATTGGTTATTTGAAATTATCAACTTCTGCAATAATAATTCTTGATCTGTAGGTTGTTCAAGTGGTTTTTTGCATATATTTGAAATCAGAAACTTGAGCAGCCTTGTTCAGTTTTGTTTGGACATGTCACATGCTAGATTTCTGGGCCCTGCTTATACAAGTATGAGAGATGCCATCTTGGCTGGTACAGCAGGAATTGACCTGAGGATCTCTAGAGCTAAGGGCATGAGCTACTGTAGCTTGAGCTGAAGCTCTCGATTGGGTACAGAGCGGGATCTGTACACACATTCCTTTGTCGCTTACATAAGCGTAACTCCTAGAAGCAGCTTTCTAGTGTGAATATTTGTATGCAAGAGTTCCGAATTCACTTCCTGTGAAAATTATCTAATATCAGCTGAGAATCGGTTATTTGCAAGAACTTCCTGCCACTAAGCTTATTTGCTGGAATATTTGCAGAAACAAAGGCAAAAGGGGGTGTAGGCAAGCTTTAAAAAAAAAAAAAAAAATTCTCTCATATCCAGATGCAATAACAGCCCCTTTCTAAAATTAATGGTGGTAGCACCAGGATTCTCACTATGAATAAGCAACCCCATCTTCTGGCTCTGGCATGTACTTACCCACTGTTTTATGATCCCAGATGGGTTTGATGAATTCAAGATGTTGAAACAGCAGATTTTAGGCCGACAGCATAGACTGAGGTGAAGAGTAATAGCAATGAAGCTATATGCCATCTCCTTCAGCTCCTGTGATGGGTTCTCCATGTCCAGTGATAGACCCTTGCTGATGCTGTTTGAGGGCTATGATGGTGCAGTTCAGCTTCCACCATTATCAGATTTGGTCTGCATCCCAGTGTCCCCTGTTGGTTGGGTTAGCCCTCCAGATGACCCCAAAAATTACCCCCTTCCAGGGTCCACAAAAATAGTCAAAAAGAAGGAAACACTCAGACACGCTAGGCTACAGCTTCTTCATCGGGGTCTGAGTGGACACTTCTTCCCTCTATTGGAGGGGCTTGCTCAGTCTTCCTGTAGCCCTGCCAAATGGTCCTTTGCTCAGCTCCTCTCTAATCTTCTTCCTTAAGCCCCTTTCTCTTTGACAAGATCAGCACACCTGGGAGTGGAGGACTCTTCCAGAAATACACAGAACTGACACTTGGCCATTGTGCAATGCGACAACGGAATTGGTCTTTCCAAAGAGATTATTTCCTTGTAAAAGGAAGTGTAATAACATGAGGCTCAAATCTCAGATATAGCGAAACAAATAACGCAATGTCTGGGCAATAATAACCACAGGAACTCCATATGGTAAGACTACAGTGGAGTGGAGACCACTTATTTTCCTTGTAAAAATGCAGTGGCATATGAGAAGTATCAAGCAATAAAAGCACTTCTGTGTAACTGTTGGAATTATAATAGTATAAAATGTTCTAAGCTACTGTCTGCCAGATACAGATTTATCGAGTGAGGTTAAGAACTTTTCTGACTTTAACATGCCACTCATAGGTAGGGAGCACAGCCTCTCCCTCTGAGAAACCTATTAAAAATGGCTTCCTCTCTGCTGAGCATATGGAAACCAAAAGAGATACCATACCACATCCACAAATAACCAACTCAGCAAGTAACTCAATAGTTCTTGGGAACGACTTTCTTGAATGTGTGGATATCACGATAGTGCTAAAATGACCTGTACCGCTTAGATAACTTTTCTCTTTTTGCGGGATTGGGAGGAGGAGGGAGAAGGGGTCACTGAACTCTAAGAGCCATGTCAATTCAGAGAGGCTAGTTAGACTACTTCTCTCTTTACAGTTACATTTGTGTGTGGCATGCTTGAATAAAATCTATACTGAAATTCATTCTAAATAATTAAAACATTGAAAAGCAATTTTGTTGCACAGAAACCTAATTTTGCCCTAAACTTCTTGGGTAGCTATTAAAGACAAATCTACCAAAATAGAGTTTGAATCATAAGTGCAGACATCTCTTGTGGATGTGATAGAACCCCCATTGTAATGTCATGGGGACAACAGACTGTTATTGGGTCACTTATTAACTCACACTGCTAGATGCAGATATCTGATTGTACTTGCATCCATTTCTCAGGCAATGGGAACAACAGATAGGCACATTTCCAAATGCCAATTTCAAATTGCTATCAGCACCCAGGCTTTGAATGCATGTTCCCCCAAATGCATGGTTTTGTAGCACAGCCTTAATTAACAATTAATTCACCAGCAAGTTGCATGTGCACCAGAAACAAGTAAATCCACGGAATAACAGCAACTGCTTAGAGACTAATCCAGTTCTGTGTTTTTCAGCTGTCACTTGATCTTTACTACACTGAAGATGAAATATATGAACTATCGTATGCACGAGAGCCAAGAAGCCACCGAGCTGCAGTAAGAGCCTTTCCAGAACCTTAACAAAACGATTTAACAGCAATATGAATTTCATCCCTAGTAGACACTTTGGTTTAGGCTACAGCTCATTAAAGACACTGACGTGTTTGTGATATATCGTTGTTACAAACAAACAACATATTAGTGAAGCAGAATAGTAATAACTCTATATATGGGCCTGCTTCTCCTCTCACTCTTATACCAGCGTAACTCCATTTATTTCAATTATGTATTATGTATTTGAAATGTATGTAGTTACTTCTGATTTATATCAGCAGGAGTGGAGACATCAGGCCCATGAGTTGCCCCATTGATAGTGAACTCTAATTCCTTTAAAGCAACAGGCGTCCGTCAATTCCAATAATCTGCCCCAAGGCATTTTTATAATATTTTATTTTTTCAAATTTTTTTTTTATAAACACGGAAAAGAAAGCTGCTTACTGTGACACACTCTCAGGGTGTCCAGAACTGTAAGTCACCTTGTTAGCCCTCTGCCTTTACAAAAGGGAGATTTGCGGATGCTAAACCAACTGACAACATCCTGCCACCCCAGTTGGTTAGCCAGCCAAACAAACGCCTTAGGACTCTGTCAGCCCTTACTTTGCCTTGCAGGTAACACTTGGTGCACCCCAGTGCCCAACCCCCCTGGAAGAGCCTTCCCTTTGCAGTATCCAGCCCCTGCCACCAGACACTCACAAAAGCTTGTTAGCTCTGCTGGAGATTCACACTTTACTGTAATATTACAGCCCTGAGATGAAGTTACAGTAAAATCAAGAATAAGTTTATGAAAAGTGAACAAAGATTTAAATGAGACTATGCAAAGATAATAGAAACAGAAAATGGTTACAAACAGAAGTATAACACTTTGTGGTGACTAAAAGTTAACTTGACAGGCTACAATCCTCGTCTAAGTTTCTCACCTAAAGGCACCTCTCAGCGTCACAAGCTGAGAATCCCTGGGTCCAAAAGGCACTGGCCTCTTTGTTCCCTCAGTGATGAATTCCCAAGGGGTTCTTTCCCCCTTCTTATAGTCCAGAAAACATAGGAAAGTATTCTTTTGCCATGTGCCTCCAGCCAAAGTTCTCCCCTGCTGGCATGCAGACACCATGTTATCTATGCTGTTTTCTCATCCTTGTGTTAATTTGCTTTTCCTGTTGACTTAATATGCTTGCTTTGAGTTTCTTTTACCATGCTCGATTGAGACCTAGGCAGACAGATATCAACATTCCATTGTCTAGGAAAACCTTGCCTATCAGCCCGGCCTGGGTTGAACAGATTTTCAGTATACACTCAACTGTGTAATGGTTACCCACACATACATCACACACTGATTGTGATGACCAGTGTGATATAAGTTTTTTCAACTGACACTTTACACTATATTCTTTACAGATAAGTACCATGACAGCAGTGTGTTAGGTGTAGTGAGTTTGTCAGGCCTGATAGCAGTTGCTGTTATATGACAGTGATCTCTTTGGCATTATGCATTGAGGGGCTTTTAAGGTCACCCTTACATTGCATAAAACTGATCTACTGTTAATCAAAATGCATAGGACTGAATGTAGTAGCAATGGGGAAATTACTGCTGTTCTTGGTAAATCGGTTGAAACAATAATTAAAAGTGTTCATGATATCAGAGAGACTAACCAGCCGTTATAAAGGAAAATTGTGCCTCACTAATTGACGGTTCAAAAGGCCTTTGACAAAGTCTTTCACAAAAGGCTAGTAAGTAAATTAAATAGTCATGGGGTGGGATACACAGTATTGTCAGGAAGCAGAAACTTGGATAGAAAAGAGGAGTTAAATGGTCAATAGTTTAACAGGATGCCACAGGCTCCATACTATGACAGGTGTTGTGCAATATATACTCACTGAGCTGGAGCAGGGGGTGAAAAATGAAGTAGCAAAATTTGCAGATGACAGTTTTTTAGACTAGTCAAGACTGAAAAATCATGTAAGGAATTGCAGCAGCAACGGATTAGTTTGTGTTGAGGGGGGGAAAACAGCGAAGAACTGCACCTTGGCAGGAGTAATTTGAACTACTCACCCACCTTACTGGGCTCTGAATTAACTGTAATAACTTAGGGAAAAGACCCAAGTATCACAGTGGATAGCTCAGTGAAGACCTTCCTCTCAAGTATCTAGTACTGACCACTGTCAGAGACAGGATACTGGATCCACTAGGCCACTGCTCTGCTCCTGGCTAGCCATTCTTATTCTTCTGTTAGACAAAGGAAAGAACTTGGTTATTGAAAATACTTGATGAGATGGTAATAAGTTTCTATAATGTTCATTTTAGCCTTTGACACCTTCCAAACCACCAGTAGTTGCAGACTGGGCCTCAGGCATAGCTCCAAAACCTGATCCAAAGACCATCAGCAAGCATGTTCAGAGAATGGTGGATGTAAGTGGCCATTTTACCATATATGTTTGATTACATCCTGTATATGATAATATATATAATGAGAAGCTGCATACTGAAAACCAGACATCTTCAAAACTGTGCTGAGTCTATTTGTAAACAATGTTAAAAACATTGCATTGTTTGAAAGCACAATTTTATTATAGTAGTTATAGTCCCATCAGGGGTATCCGCTAACTGCGCTGCTACTTAAACTGCAGCACACATTCATTCTTTGCTAAAGTTTGTTTTGATACAGTGTGTTTGTCGCAACTGGGACATGGGCGATCTGACCTAGTGGTCAGAATCAGGCCAGGTCACATATCAGAAAGTCAGAGTCTGAGACAGGCCAGAGGGCGAACTGGGAGTCAAGCTTGAGAGCCAAACCACAGATCAGGAACCAGAGTTGGGCCAGGTCAGGATACCAGAAAGTCAAGCCAGAAGAGCAGAAGCCCACAGTCCATAGCAAGGTGGATCCCAGTTGTATGGACAACTTCCTGTTCCTGTGCTGGGTTTAAATAGGACTTTGGACCAATCAAGCTTCCAGGACTGGGGCACTCTGTCTGGGTTCAGCTTCGATTCTGACAACAGTTAGTAGGGCTCTCAAGGGCAGGTGGAACCTGATAGCTCCAATGAGCCCTACAGACCAGGATTCAAGACCCATGGCCCCTGCCAGTGTTTCACATGTGTTTTCACAAATTGCTTGATAACAAGAATTTGTTATGAGCTAGAGGAACTTTTAAAGTTAAGATTTAGGACCTGATTCTGCAACCCTTATATACTTAATAGATGCAAGCAGTCACATCAACTTTAATGGTGCTACTCAACGGGCGCAAGGGTTGCAGAAATGGCCTTAATTCAGCCAGGTACTTAAGTATGTGGGCAGTCCCACTGATGTCAATGGGCTCAGAGTTAAGCATGTGCTTAAGTACTTTGCTGAGTTGGAGGCCTACAAGAAAGAAAGTAACTTTTGGCTTTTCTACACCTACAAGTTGTGCAGGTGCAAGTTATATTGGAGTAGTTAAATCGATCCAAGTATTTTGATTAAATGCATTCACACCATTGCACTTGCACAGGTGCAGACATCACTGGGGTCGCACAGCCTTGTTGGCACGGAGGGGATTATAGTGAACATTTTTAAGGAGGGAACTAGGAGATAGAGAGGCAGTGGGGGCCTGGCAGCCCAAACTGAGTGTGTGGCAGGTGGAGATGTGTGGGAGAAGGCAGAAAACACCAAGCAGAGAAAGCAGGGGAAATGGTCAATAGTGTTTGTAGTGGAGCTATGGGGATATAGAGAAGGGAAGGACACTTCTGCCCTCCCCCATAGCTGTTTCTGCCTGGTTTCAAATAACAAAGGCAGCAGGCACTGAGAATCGGAAGGAAGCTCCTGAGCTCAGAGCTACCCTCTTGTATGACAGGTACTGGCAGACGACCTTGTTTTGGGTGAGAGTTTCTGAGCTCTGTTTACACATGCTTCTTGCCCTAGAGAGCAAGGAAGTCAATTCTCTACCTTCAGGTCTAGGCAAATGTGCTAGGCATTATAGCCCCTTTGGTGAACCCAAGAATGCTCAGAAAGGTTTGGCGTTCTAGTGGCTTGCAAATGGGGCTCTTGGGAATTTATAAAACGTCTTAAAGTCCGAGTGACTTTGGGACAAGCTGATGGCTAGATCGGGAGTGCAGAAAGGTCACCACAGCTCAGTGCATCAGTCACTGCTGCAGTGTAGGCTAGAAGTGGGAGGATTACTTGAACCGATGTCGCTACATTAATGAAAGCATGTGTCTACGGTGCTACTCCATTGATTTAACACTCCCTCCAAGGTAGAGCTGCCCTGATAAAATAACTTAGGGAACTATTTTGGTTTAACTACAAAGCTCTAGCTCTGGGAGATGGTGTGTGCACATGCACGCGCCTACTCCCACTTTAATAAAGAGGGCTACATTGGCGCAACCTTTGTGTGTAGACCTGGCCATAGTGGCTTAGAGAGGGGGAAAGGGGCTGAGTGTGAAAAACAAAGGGATCTGGGGAAGGGAAGTGCCACCATACCCAAGTAGTGGGGTTGCACACACTATGGAGCAATACAGAATTTGGTCCATGTTGTTTAGAATTTACCTTTAGGTTTTGACATCAATCCAGAATGTACGATGGTTCTATAGACTTAAGCAGGGCAGGCAGCGAGAAAGGTCCTTGCACTGTTTTAAAGAAAACCATTAAAGTTTATTTTACACTGAATGACTGAAAAGCAATACATGTTTTTGTCTGGGATGCTAATATATTTTGAACTTAATTTTTTTCCCCAAAAAGGTGATAAGTAAGTTGTCCAACTTCATTATAATTTCCTCTATTATCTTATCCAGTCTGTCTTCAAAAATTATGACCATGATCAGGATGGATACATTTCTCAGGAAGAATTTGAAAAGATTGCAGCCAGCTTCCCATTCTCATTTTGTGTCATGGACAAGGACAGGTGTGTGTCTGTGAACCTCATTTTTACATCTGTTTCTGCATGTGAGCTTCGTAACAGATAGTTGTTGTCATAAGAGATGTTAAAATCACCCTTCCCTATGCCAAAATGAAAGTGGAAACATAACTCACAAAAGCACCTTCTGAGTTGGTTGCAAGTGACCTCGCCCACCTGCAGCAAAATTAAACCGTTGTCTCTTGTGAGACTCCAATACTCTGCTTAGACCGATTGGAGAAAATTGAAGTGTAATATCTTAAAGAATATTTTGTTGAATTATATTCAGTAACATTAACTGTATTGAACATTTTTCTAAGGTAAAACGGTGTCTCAGAACAGGCTTTTGTTGTTGTCGTTGTTAAAGACCATGTAGAGAAATAAAATATGTTGGCGCAGACATACCTGTGTTTTGACCAAATGACAACAGATTTCTGTGTTAGCCAAAAATGTTCCTCAAAATATAGAAAACTGCAGCTGTGGTCATTTGGAGTTTCTTTGGCCTGCCAAGGATTAACATTAGAAAGCAGAGAAAATTAAAATTTGACTCTGCCAGAAATCCTTGGTGTGTCTCTTTTTTCCTCCTAAGAGAAAGCACGTTTTCTAACACCACAATAGAGATTGTAAAGAACAGTGTGAATTCCTGTTGGAAGGAATTATTCCCTTGCTTCATTTTTTTTTGTTTTTGTTTTTGTTTTGATAATTGCGCAGTGTTCTGAAGCTGTTGTGAGTTTGAATCTCACAAGAAGCTAATTTTGTTTAGTTGTATAAATTGCATTTTAATTCATAGATAAATGAGTTTCTGTAGAACCCATGACCAGCTTGGCCAGATTACTGAATAATTCTGACATCTACGGCTGTTAGAAGTGGGGGTGGGAGATGTAGTTAACTCTCCTTGTGCTGTTGGAAAGCAGAGCCCCAATTAACCATCTCTCTCATTTATTTTCAGGGAAGGTCTGATTAGCAGGGATGAAATAACAGCTTACTTTATGAGGGCTAGCTCGATCTATTCTAAATTAGGTCTTGGCTTTGCTCACAACTTCCAAGAGACCACTTACCTAAAGCCTACGTTCTGTGACAACTGTGCTGGATTTGTAAGCTTATTTTTTAAGTACATTACTTTAACATCTGTTAGCATAACAATGTTTCTTCAGTCTAGTAAGCAAACATTTATCATTTAATATTGAAATCTTAACATTAAACATGTAAATTGTCCTATTGACCATGTTTCAATAGAGGCTTTTCCCTCCTTAGTGGTGTTTTTGCTTCTCTAACATTGCTCCCTCTGCCTTGTGTTCTTCTGGCTGCCAAGGCAGCCGTGTTTCAAGCTACATCACTGTCAGGCAAGAGGTTCAAAGCCTAGAGCCTCCCTCTCCGAGTTTGTTGGGACTGGCCCAGCACTGAGCGCAGCTGGGCCTGCTTCCTGTTTAGCAAAGGAAGATGGGGCAAGCTGACTGCGCTGCTCCCTGGTGACCGTTTCCTGGGATCAGCATCATGCTGTTATGGGGGTGATGTCTGATATGCATTAGTGATGGCTCCTGAAAGCGTGTCACAAGCTGGAGACTAGGCTTTACAAAAGCACAATAGACGTGACTTGTAAGACCCCTGCTACTCGAATTCAGGAACCTCTTTGCAGATCAGCAGACACGGTTGACTGGCAAGAAAAAGTATCAGGCTTCAAAACAAATGGGTGGGCTTTTGTCACATTCTTATGCCTGGAGGGGGTCATCTGACATGCCAAAATTCAATGAAATATCTTAACACAAATATGCTTTTTTTCCCTTTGTCCCTGAACTTCAGCTCTGGGGAGTTATTAAGCAAGGATATAGATGCAAAGGTAATTACTACTTCCTCTTCTGTTGACTTAATGCATAGTTGTGAAGGTGCCCTGCAAAATTAGTAAGATTGTAGCCTGAGGGTACATTACCTTTTCCATAGCCTCACTTCAATCCCCCCATCTAAGGAGGCAGATCCCAGGGGCGTCTGCTGGCAGAGGAAGCCATGGCCTGAGATCTGGAGGAGGAGCAGGTGGCCCTCAGCCAGTTCGAGGTCATAGGACCTCACAACAGATGGCCCTAGCCCTCTGCAAATCCCCACAGGATATGTAATGGACACTCCTGTTTCACAGGGAGGCAAACCCCAGCTCCCAACAGAACTATTTGGGGAGCTCCACAATGAAAATCTTGCAGGGTTTTCCTTCCTCTGAATACGCTCCTGCAGGCTTTTGCATGGGAGAAGACAATGTGACCGTGCGATATTAAGTAGGCACCTGGGCCAGTTCCACTGTAATGTGTTGTGCTTGGCTGAGTGTTTGCTAGTGGGATATCTTCAGTATAAAAGTGGTTTGAATGGTACATTGCACAGGGATGCAGTTGAGTATATTTACCTTCCATTTGTGGTTTCATACCATGCCTTGTAGAACATGTAAGAAGACCTCTGCAGTTTCCTGCAGTTTACAGTGTGGAAACAGATCTCAGATGTTGCAGCAAAACCACTAAATGCTACAAACCTTGTTTTACTTGTTTACAGACTGTGGAATGAACTGTCACAAGCAATGCAAAGACCTGGTTGTATTTGAGTGCAAGAAAAGATCCAAAAGCATGACTGCAGATAACAGCCCGACCTCAGCCCTCGCTTCTAGCCTCTGCCCTGTAGGAGTCAAAGAGCAATTCCATGGTGAGGAAGGTTCAGATATCCAAGATCAAAGTGACCCTCCCCCAACATGCTGATTGAATACCTGGGTGGTGGGTGAAGCTTCCCCTAGGGGAGGCTAGCTCCCTGTCCTGCCTCTTCCACCTACAGCTCTGCCACACTCCCCCTACTTTGCCCAGGCCCCCTCCCTGCTTAGCCCCCACACCGCCGCTCCCCACGTCCCTCCTCACCTCTCCTCCCCCCTCCCTTGTGAGGCTCCCACCACCCGCCACATTCCTCCTCTCCTTATCCCCGAGGCACGCGCCACTCAAGCTCTCTGCATCCCTCCTCTTCTCCACCCCCCCTCCCCAAGGCCCCCGCCACTCAAGCTCTCTGCGTCCCTCCTCTCCTCCATTGGGGGTGGGGGGGGGTGAGGAGGGACGCAGCGAGCGGCAGGTGGGTGAGTCTTGCGGGGAGGGGGTGGAGGAGAGGAGGGACGCGGGGCAGTGGGTGCCTTGCGGGGAAGTGGGGGTGGAGGAGAGGAGAGACATGGCAAGCAGTGAGGATCTGTGGAGAGGCAGGGTAGAGGAGAGACTCACCAGGCAGCGGCGGGGGCCTTGGGGAAGAGCAGGAAGGGGAAGAGGCAGAGTGGGGCCACCACAGCCCAGGAGTCTGGCGACAGCTATGCCAGGGAAGGCTTATACCCATCGCCTATGATTGAATAGCATTAGTTAATAAACACTAGAATTCTGTAACAACATATTGACTGCAGCTAGAAACAGACATAAGTAAACCTAGTTCTGGGTGCACCCACCACTATCCCTCTCCTGCTCACAGTATTGCTAATTATTTCAGTCCTGGTCATTTCCTGAGCAGAGACCTCCAGTTATGTGAAATTGTATGACATGCACAAATTCCCACAAGAGCTGAGCCGAGATGCTGCCCAACTTTTCTCAGCTGTGACTCAAAGGATCTGAGCCCAGCTGTCTAGCAGTGAAAGGCTGATGTGTTAACTAATTGTGCCACCTTGTGACAAGCAGATCGCAGTGTGCTCTAGTTTCTACCATTTGGCAGGAAGCAATTGCAATATTAAATAAGTGGCTCCGGGTTAAATTCATATTTCGCTTCTGGGTTTCTAAAATCAACTCGTGTACATTTCATGTGCACCAAGAAAATTAAGAGCTGTAATTACATTCTTTTCTTCACTTCCCTAGGTGATTTCAAACTCCCTCTTGGTCACCTTAACCAACCCCCTTACATTAATACTCAGCTGTACAGATCTTTACTAATTGCCCATTCTTTCCTGCCTATCTCAAGCAAGGAAACTTGGCTTAATCTCAGATCTAACCAGTTAAGCATCCAAAAGAAGAAGTGTTTCTCTTGAATGAGACCACAGGCTATTTCTTTTTTTGACTCAGATTTCCCCAAGATATTCACTCATCATCTTTGAGCTCTCCTGCTCTTTGCACATCGCCTTTGTCCGTAAATCTGCCTGTAACCACACCCCTGCATTGCCCATGTACACCACTGCCTCAACTGCTCTGATGGTGGAGTTCTCACCCATGCTTCCATATAAAATGTAAACGTTTCATAGTGATGGTAATTAACCATTGGAACAGTTTACTAAGGGTCGTGGTGGATTCTCCATCGCTAGCAATCTTTAAACCAAGGCTGGAGGTTTTTCTAAACAATATGCACTAGGAATTATTTTTGGGAAGTTCTATGCCCTGTGTTATAAAGGAGGGCAGGCTAGATGATCAGAGGGGTCCCTTCTGGCCTTGGAAGCTATCAGACTGCTCTCACTGACCTGCTCTGTGGCCTCCCTCAGGCCCATCTCTCTTTCCAGACTCCAGAACATGCAGGGCTGTAACACATGCAGATATGGCCGTCCAGGTACAAAGAGCCACAGCTGCATCCTTCATTCGCTCCACTGACTCCCCGTTCATTTAAAAGTTCTCAAAATGTCTCTATTTCTCACCTCAAGTGCTTGCCCCACATAGTTACTGTAGTCATACTTGGGTTGCAAGGTATCCAATTTTCAACCGAACACCTGGTCGAAAAGGGACCCTCCCCAGCCCGGTGAAAATGAGTGAGTGAGGGTGGGGGAGAGTAAGCGACACATGGAGGGGGAATGGAGTGAGTGGGGCTGAGCCTCGGAGAAGGGACGGGGCAAGGGATGTTCGGTAAGAAAGTTGGCAACCCTACCTGAAACCAACAGCTTCTGGTCCCACAATCACTGATTTCCCAGTCTCCACAGAGCTCGCCTTCTCTGTGCCAGCTAGGGCTAACCCCCGAGTCCTCGGAGTGCTCCGTGCAGTATCCAGTCCCTCTCACTGGACACTCTCAATAATTACCAGGTAAGCTGTCCCCAAAGAAACAGTGTACCCACAGCTTGGCTGGTACATCTCAGGATCTGATCCTTTTATAACACCACAGCACTGTAATCTACTTATATGCTTATTAACAAAGATTATGATTTAAGAGATATTGATAAAGGATAATGAGTGGAAACATATTTAAAAAAGGAATCTGAGGTCTACACTTATTAATGGTTACCTTTCCTGTTTTATAAAGTAGATCTTCTCCCAAGGAGTCAGTTATGAGAGAGCTGCTGGTTTTCAGTCAAAACCAGGACCCAAGTTTTCATAACTATGGCCACACCCTTCAAGGGGTTTCCTCAGTAAGGGGATACCAAAATGGGAAATAAAAGGAGAAGCAAAAAGCCAAACTCATTGTTTTGACCCCACAGTCAGGATTCCCCCCCCCCTCACCCCACCATTGTGCAGCCTCCAAGTTGTCTTCAGATCCTCCTGCTGATTTGAAATGCAAATGTAGCTCCCATTGTGTTTGGCTTACAGTGCTTAATCTACATATTAACCTAGGCAGACTCCTGAACATACATGCCTTTGTCTGGCAAAACCAGTTCTTCACTTCTGCAGGGAATAGCACCTTGATACAAACCACAAGGACATAATTTTTTTACGTATAATCAGTACATAGATATCACAACAATATTAATGATCAGCAAGATATTAGCTTTCATTTAAGATCTCACACAATGTGCGTTACTGATAAATGCCATGACAGCAACATCTTAGGTATAGTGAGTTTAGCAGGCCCAGCAGGAGTTGCTGTTACAGAACAGTGAGTCCTTTGCCAGTTGGTGTGGAGGAGCTCTTAGAGTCACACCCTTACCTCTCCATTTCTCATTCCCTCTGCTTTCATTTGTTGCTTTCATTTTGTAACTGCTGTTTAACTCAGCAAACCATTTTGAGATCACTTACATGAAAGACATTGCAAAATGAAGTATTTAATTGCACCAGTTTTAGAGGGGCAAGCTAATACAAAAAGATTGTGATTTTTCCCCAAGGCCATGGGGAAAGGAAGGGTACGTAAAGGTGTAGAGAGGTTGTTTTACCTTTGTATTTGGCACTGGTGTGACCACTGCTGGAATACGGTGTCCAGTTCTGGAGTCTACAATTCAAGAAGGATGTTGATAAATTGGAGAGGGTGTAGAGGGAGAGCCCAGAGAATAATTAAAAGATTAGAAAACATCCTTGCAGTGGCAGATGCAAAGAGCTCAATCTACTTAGCTTAACAAAGAGAAGGCTAAGGGGTGACTTGATTACGTTCTCTAAGTACCTACATGGGGAACAAATATTTAATAATGGGCTCTTCAGTCAAGCAAACGAGGTATAACATGATTGAATGGCTGGCAGTTGAAGTTAGACAAATTCAGATGGGAAGTAAGGTGTACACTTTTAATAGTGAGGGTAATTAACCATTGGAACAATTTACCATTCTCCATCAGTGGTAACTTTAAAATCAAGATTGGATTTTTTTGTAAAAGATCTGCTGTAGGAATTATTAGGAGGAAGTTCTCTAGTCTGTATTATTTCATTTTCATTCATAGTACATAAAAGGTTGTTACAAGGAGGAGAGTGAAAAATTGTTCTCGTTAACCTCTGAGGATAGGACAAGAAGCAGTTGGCTTAAATTGCAGCAAGGGAGGGTTAGGTTGGATATTAGGAGAAACTTCCTAACTGTCAGGGTGGTTAAGCACTGGAACAAATTGCCTACGGAGGTTGTGGAATCTCCATCATAGGTGGTTTTTAAGAACAAGTTAGACAAACACCTGTCAGGAATGGTCTAATTATTACTTAGTCCTGCCTTGAGTGCAGGGGAGAGGACTAGATGACCTATTGAGGTCCCTTCCAGTTTTACACTTCTTAAAGACAGCTAAATTTACAGTAATACTTTCCTAATAATACTTTTCCATGTAAATAATTGTTGCAGTTGCTGCAGGGATTTTATGGGATTGTGAATCAGAGGGGAGTTGTTCACACTCTGGAAAAAGTTTAAGAGCCTGTGCTACTAGACCAAATTCAGAGAGATGTGAATATAAACACCATTTCAGATTAAATATTGCATAGTACATTGTTTTAAAAAGGCACCCTGAATGACTATGGCTATATATCTTCCTTCCCAATGCAGGTCTCCAATTAACTCAGTTCGTTGTTTCTGTTCTGTAGGGCAGGAGGAAGGACCATTTACATTTCCTAATGAAGAAGTGGCTGAACACAATGAAGAGAGCAAGGACCGAACAATTATGCTTATGGGTGTCTCATCACAAAAAATCTCAGTGAGAGTGAAGCCAGCTGTTCTCGACAAGAGCACACAGACTGAGCCAGCACTGGCAAATAGCGCTGTACCCAGTAGGCAGATGGAGAATGAGCATGGGATGCCATCGGAAAGTATTTATCTACAGCCCGCAACACCATCTCCATGCCCAAGCCCAGTTCTAAGCCGCAAAAAGGCTTATGTAAAATGGGAAAACAAAGACTCAAGTCAGAAACGAAAGGATGAGCAGCGCATCTATAAACCCTCGTACCAGGAAGTGGAGCAGGTACTTACACAATGGACCACATTCTCCTTTACACTACAGTGGCACAGTAAAGAGGCCTTAAAGTTGATTTAAGGATCTACTGTCACTTCAAGGGCCCTTTGCACTGCCAGGGTAGTTAACTACTGGAACAATTAATAACGGATATTTGTAGAGTCTCCATCCCTTGAAAACTTTAAATCAAGATTGGATATATTTCTAAAAGATATGCACTAGTTCAAGCATAAGCTATTGGGCTTGATGCAGAAATCATTAGGCCTTTCTTATGCAGGAAGTCAGACTAAATGATCACAATGATCCCTTCCAGCCTTAAAATCCATAGGTGAAATCCTGGCCTCATTGAAGTCACTGGAGCCAGGATTTTACCCTATAAATCTAGTCATCAATTTTAGGGACACTCCAGACTGGGCAATAGTTTGCAAATTGCAGGCCCCACTCAGCCCGCTGCCGAACTAGGTGAACGGAACCCCAGGCCAGCAGCGGGCTGGTGGCGTAAGATCAGCATTTTAATTTAATTTTAAATGATGCTTCTTAAACATTTTGAAAACCTTGTTTACTTTACATACAATAGTTTAGTTACATAATATAGACTTATAGAGAGAGACCTTCTAAAAAGGCATTAAAATGTATTACTGGCACGCGAAACCTTAAGTTAAAGTGAATAAGTGAAGATCGGCACACCACTTCTGAAAAGTTGACAACCCCTGTTCTAAGCACTGTACAAAACACATAGTAAGAAACAGTTCTTCAAATCCTTGTCTGTGTGGATCCCGCTGTTATTGGTGCACATGTGTTCCATGAACATGAGTTTCAAACTTTCTGGTAAGCAGCGTCCATTGGGGCCACACCTGTGCCCAGTACGTGCTTGTGCTCTCCACAATCCCACAAAAACTCAGTATGGGAAGTAAGGTGGGAACTGTGGCGTCCTCCTTTCACTTGCAACTAGTCTGATAGGTTTTTGTTAATAATTGCATATATAGATTTAGATTATTAGTTAATAGTTTTTCTGCCCATTTGGCAGCTTTCCATTCCCCTTTTGTCTCAGGGAATGTTCTTAGATGTTTGTGCCTTACCACCCCTATGATAGACTCCAAACCCTCAGCACTCGAGTTCTACCCTTTCTGCAACAGGCTGATTCCTACCCTCGCCCCACATACTTAGCTGATGACCCACAGCAGATGTCTTGTGTGCTTGGTGGAATCATATATTCTCAATTATTGTTCAATGTGCACATCCTTGTCTACTCAGATCAGAAAACTGAAAGAATCTCATCTAAAACTGTAGCTGTAATAACAGTCCATGAGGGGTACCTCAGATCCTGAGAGGCCTTCCCTGGACCCAAAATAACATCCCCAGAGCCAGACGTCGCACTCCCACAGTGCTTTGGAGACTGTACTCCCCAAGCTCCAGCTCCTGGTGGTACCAAGAAAAAGCCTCAAGATCAGTGCCATCCTTGGGACGTCATCCTGGTACTGCACACAGCTCCAGTTCAGGACCCAGGTAGTGACACCACCAGACATAGTAGATCCAAGACATGACCCAGGGCCAGATGACACTGCCATTCTCCTTCCCTGGAATGGAATAAAGCAAATGTGTTTAAGAGGAGCCTGGAGCCCTGTGACTCTGATAACTCTAAGGCCAAGAACATAGATCAGCTCAAGAAAGTGACCCTGACTAGCTCACCATCTCCCTCAGGACAAGGGAAGGCCACTTCAGCTTCAACAGTATTGACTGCCTCAGCAACGATAGAATCCTCAGATGCTGGAGTCTCTCTCAATACCAAAAGACTTTTTACTCTCTGGTACAAGGCTCAGTTAGCCATCCTGTTCCCTGCCCTCAGGGAACCCTCCAGTGCTTAATTTGTGCTGGGGCTCAGCCCGGCACCTCTAGGCTTGGCTGTTCATAGCCCCGGCACCTCTGGGCTCCAGCCAGCTGCTGCCACTCTCCAGTCACCCAGCTCTGAAGGCAGCGCCGCCACCACCAGCAGCGCAGAAGTAAGGGTGGCAACACACCATACCATGCCATCCTTCCTTCTGCCCTGCTGCTTGTGGCGGCACTGCCTTCAGAGCTGGGCGCCCGGCCAGCCGCTGCCGCTCTCCGGCCACTCAGCCAGTGCTTAATTTATGCCAGGGCTTTCTGGGGCTGAGCCGTGGCACCTTTCATTACAAATTAAGCACTGGAACCCTCCTCCTCAGTGCTGATCCTATCAGCACTTTCTACAGACCCAATTTATTCCTCATCTTCCCCATCCTCCTACCTCCACTCAGCTTCTGCTAAGGAGCATTCCCATGCTCTTAAGAGCCGAAGTATAGGGATATCACCCCAGTTTCCCTTAAGGAAAGGCACATCCCCCATTACATGGTTGAAAGACTTTGGAACACTACTTCTCCTTCTCAGTTTTTCTTCCCTTCCTGGCTTTATTGGGCATACTGGGGTCCAGCCTCTCATACCTCTAGGTCCCACTCTCCTGTACCTTCAGCTAGAAAAAGACCAAGATCAACTTCCATGCAAAGGGCAGCGTCACCCACACACCAAAGATACGTCTATACATATGGTGGCATGCAGAGTACGGACACTACATGCCCAGCGAGACATGGCTTAGGCCAGTAGAGTGCCCTACACGCAGGAACCCCCAGGATAGATACTCTACACGGCTCTTTACACCCAAGCAGTGCCTCCCATGTCTACGCTGGTATTTTTAGCAATGTAATGTCCCGCTACCTCCCTGCTGCTGGAGCCTTTCCCTGCCACTGAGAGAGCCTCCGGCAGCAGGGAAAGGCTCTGGCAGGGGGTAGGGGAAGAGGCACCCTTGGAGCCTTTTCTCGCTGCAGTGAGGTTCCCTGTTGTCGGAGCCTTTCACTGCAGCAAGGAAAGGCTCTGGCGGGAGGGTGGGAGGGGGAGACAGTGGGGAAAGGCAGGAGCTGCTGGAGTTGTTCCCTGCAGTATGTAGCTACACGTGTGGTGCCCATACGCCACACACTGCTATCAGTGTAGACATAGCCAAAAAGTCAAAGAAAGAGTCAGGGCCTGAATATGAAGAGGAGGATTCCTCCAGAAATCTGGTAGATGAAATGATAAAACAACCTGCTGCTCATTCATTACCATCTCCTGCTGAGGCAGTCACCCCCATACTGATCCTGCCTGCAGCTGATTTTAGAGCAGTGGTTTTCTAATTTTTTGAGCTGAGCCCCTCCCCCCTCTTTGGAGTTCAATTTTTTTTTTTCAAAAATAGAGAAAAAAAAAAAGTCAGGGGGTGGGGATTCCTCCCTGAGCCCTGCTGTGAGGGGCTGGCCGGAGCCACCTGCCATCGCCGCTCCCCTCCCTCCCACCCGAACATTCCTCCATGCCCACCTAGGGGGGCATGCCCCACAGTTTGAAGATCTTTGTTTTAAGGCATTTCAAGACCTGCTCGAGAGAATAGCCAATACTTGAGTTATCGCCTTCAGTGAACCAAGAAAAGCCACCAAAGCACTCCTGCATTCTCCATTCCCAGATGATAGCTAGAATGGCCATGCCTGTCAGTGAAGGCATCTTAGAGCCAGCAAAGGACTCATGGCAGACACTGGCCTCAACTCCTTCTATCTCTGAGGGCTTAGAGGAGTTACCAAGTACCTGCAAAAGGGATATGAATGTCACTTCTCACCCTACTCTGGACTCTCTTGTGGTCTCAGCAATATTAGAAAAGTCCTGACAACCAGCCCTGAGTCGATCCAGTCCCAAGGAAAATGATCTATAGAGGTTGGACTTATTTGGTAGAAAACCATATTCCTCAGTATCCTTGCAACTTATTACTTGCCAAACATAACAAGCAGGGATAAGGTTCTTCCTTTCTCGATCTCTCTCTCGAGACCAAATAATAAAACTGAAGGTGGTGAAGCAAAAGGTCAATAGTGGCCAAGACCTCTCACCAAGTGCATCCAATGCACCTGTTCGATTCCTGGCCACAGCAATAACAAAGCATCCTGGCTCCAGCCATCAGGAATCCTGAAAGAGGTCCAGTATACTATTCAAGGAGCCTGATCTCTTCCATTCCCAAATTGATGAGGCTTTAAGATCTCGAACCAACCACATCAGTAAGGTTTTGCTTAAAGCTACTAGGTCATCTTGCTTCATGCACATATGTGGTGCTTCTTGCCAGATTTTGCATATGTCCACTGCAGTCCTGGCTCAGAATTGTGTCGCAGCCTTCTAGATACCCCACGGACTCTTATCACAGTGCTATATTGTCGACTTTCTCAAATGGTGGATGAACCCCAGCACGAGGAGAGGAGATCCATTTCAGACTTTATGCCCATCACTAACAGTAGTCACAGATGCTTCTACGACACAGTGAATAAGGTCCCAAAGCAACGCCTGCCTTCACATTAACATCCTGGAGTTTTGAGTGATCAGGCCAGCTTTCAAGGAGTTGTCACTGACCGAGGGAGCCTTGATGGACAATACATCTGCAATGTTCTTCATCAGACAAAATGGTGCTCACGCCTCCCTTTGTCAAGAAGCAATAATTTTCTGAAACTGGTGCGTCACTCACAAAATAACCCCGGGCAGCCAGAGCTGATGCCATATTTGGAAGGGCTGTTCTCAGTTCTCTTTTTGACTAAGTTAGCTAGTTAGACAAGACTCCTCAGTATGTCCTGTGAGAATTACTGCTTGCTAGCCAGCACCAGTGGGATCCACATGGACAAGGACGCAAAGAGGAAAGAACAGTTACTTATCATACAGTTACTGTAGTTCTTTGCAAAGTCTTGTCCATGTGGATCCCATGACCCACTCTTCATCCCTGCTCCTTTGGAGTCCTTATCTCTGGGATTCTGAATTACTGAGGGAGCAGAGCTGGTTGGATCCATACAGCCTGTTGTATGTTTAGCTGGGGATGGTGGAAGGGAGGGGTGAGGATGTTCAGGGTGCAGGTACAGCCCCCAACACACTACTTACTAGAAGAGTCTGATCTTGTGCACATGGGGCACAAGCACATCAACAGTGAGATCTGCACAGACATTGCATCTTGCAGAACCACATCTACTGTAAGGTAAGTAACAGTTCTCTTCTTACAAGCTTACCTGATCCAATTCACACTGAAGTCAATGGAAAAACTCTCATTCTTCCCTAGGAGTTGGATTGGGCCCTAAACTGACAAGGCAGATAAAAGGTGGGAGAAAGCAAGCATTGCTTACCCCTGTTTTACTGAGAAGGACTTGAGGCACAGTGCTATTAAGTGACTTGCCTAAAGTATCAGAGGGGTAGCCGTGTTAGTCTGAATCTGTAAAAAGCAACAGAGGGTCCTGTGGCACCTTTAAGACTAACAGAAGTATTGGGAGCATAAGCTTTCGTGGGTAAGAACCTCACTGAAGATGCATCTGAAGAAGTGAGGTTCTTACCCACGAAAGCTTATGCTCCCAATACTTCTGTTAGTCTTAAAGGTGCCACAGGACCCTCTGTTGCTTTTTGCCTAAAGTAATGCAGGAAGCCTGTGACACATCCAGGAATTAAACCCAGATCTGAATCTCTGTCTAGTGCTTTAACCACAAGATGGTCCCTTCCTCTCACAAAAGTTAACCAATTCAAATGAAAACTGAAATGGTTAAAATCTTAACTCCAATCAGCATCACTGTCCTAAAATCTCAGGCAAGCAAAAATAAAGCAAGCTCACTTCAGTTTGCAGTCAGCCAGCACTTTGTGGACCTTTGCATATTAATGCAAATGAGGAAATGGTTCAATTAGTACACTGTCATTACACTAGGTAGTGGAATCAAGAGACAGCCTCTTGCTGCCCTATGAAGCCTTCAGTCTTTGTGAAAAAACACCAAAATACTAATCCATGTTATATCTACCTACAAACCCAAGCAATGTCCAAAACTAAACCCTCTCCCACCCATCCTTGAAATACGGACTCCCACCTACCACCCAAATCTTCTCCTCCATCTTTGCATCTCCTATGCACCATGTGGTTGAAAGCTCAGTACACATTTAGAACAAATATATTCTGCATGAGTCAGATTGAAAAATACTGGTTCCAAGCATGAAATGGTTAATTTACCAGGTAACCAAATACATTCTTTAGAGATGCAAACAGAAAATTAATTGCCATTTGCTCATGCTGATCTTTTTTGTTTAACATGCCATTTACTGTTCAGTGCATAATAACCATTTGGAGAATAGTTAAGTAGTCTCTCACGGAAAATGTGAGATGCCAATCAAGCAAATGCACCAGCAAACAGGGGTGAAATCTCCATTTAAAAAACCAATACCATTCATATGACGCCTGCCATTCTCTGTTTTTGTTTAGGAAAGAAATATTCTAAAGGCAGAAAATGAAGCTTTAAAGATTCAGCTTAAACAGGCACACAAAACAATTGAATCTCTCAGTATTCAACGCAGAAATCATGTCTTGGACAATACACAACACAGAGACTGCGCGTAGCTGACAAGGCACGAGCTCTCCTCTGGATGAATGTAAAAGGAGAGGGCTTTTTGAACTGTGACAAAGCTGCTGTATTCAAGTGAACAGGAAACAGAGACTGAAAGATTTTAAACAGAAATATACTCTGTTGAATCAGCGTATTTTGCCTGTTCAGTATACTGCTGAATGTATAAATGTTTCCTTTCTCTGACAGTTTAAAATAATTTATCTTCTGAACCCAGGAATTAATACATTCCGGAATCTCTCTCAAGAAGGGTGATATAGGCCCTGAAGTTTATATTTATCATCAGTAAGCAACTTCCATGTCCAATATGGATGATGCGACTCTACAGGTAGCTACTGTTTCTATCGAGTGCCCAGTGCCCACCTACAAGTGTTCCGACAAGGTATGTAATTAAGCGGACACCATCAACTCAAATTTGGCCCAAATTCAGGTTTTCTAACACGAAACATTTGATAAATCTAAGACTTTTGAGCAATTTTTGATAAGATAGAAATTTCATGGTCCCAATCATCGCTGCATTAAGAACTGGAAAGTGCAACTGAGTTCATTGATTTTCATCATCCAACATTAGAAATATGAACTGTCAATAAGCAGTGAAACGAATGACGATTTTAAGTCTTTCCTTTTTAATGCTCTAAGATGTGGTATATAAATATTTTTATAACTGATTAAAATTAAGCGTTCCTTTAAAATCCTCGCTTTCTGAGCTGGCCATAGAGGTTCTAGCTACCCACACTTTAAACCCTGCAAAACTAAAAATTATAGTGCCTCATACAGAGCACAAGACTAGAGATTTCACACTGGAGTATTGCTTCTACTTTAATGTCCCATGCTACCATTCAGGTCAAATAGTCTTGATACTGGCCCTGGTGGCTCAGTGGTTAATGGTTGAAGACAGATTTTATTGACAGGAGGAAAAGATGTTGGCTATTTTCTTTAACTTCTCTCCATCTTTCAGTCCTTCATTTATAAGCGTGCAATATGTTCTTATATTTCAAGATTTAATCATAAAATACAAATATTAAAATTAAGGAAGGGGAATTTTCAGTCCATGACAGCATTTAACTGTCATGGCCTCCAACTATGGAACCTATCAAAGTTGGGGAAGTACAAAGCCTCCTCACCATTGACAGCCTTCCTCTATAGCTTAAGTTATTGTTATTTATTATTTCTGGCACATCTAAGGGTACCTGCCAGGGACTAGGACTCTAGTGGGCTAAGCACTGTACAAATAACTTGAAGGCACTCCCTGCCCCCAAGAGCTCGAGCTAGGATTTGTTGGCATAAATACCAAACAGACTTTGTATGTGATTATTACGTGGTTGCCAGCATTTCGGAAAAAAGTGGCCATGGAACAATTCTGAGAAGGCTGGGGGGAGGGGGGAAAAGTTGCATGTACATCATGGGGAATTTCAGGTTATGTTCTTGTGGGTAGTTTAGTTCACTAACGGTTCAGCTAGGCAACCAGAATCCACAGCAAACGTGTCTCTCCGTCGTGAACCCATCCCTCCCCAGAGAATCTCCTCTTCCCGCTCCTTACCTGCAGTTGTCTTTTTGGGAGGAGGACTGAAGGTCTGTATTTCTCCCCTTGCATGGGAAAGAGGCATCTACTTCACACTACCAGGGAGCCTCTAGCCTTCATCTCTTTTTGTCTCTCTTGTGGAAGCTGGGGAGATTTGGAGTTTCCTGAATCCCTTAGGGTCCTCCTGCCCTGTCCCCATTCTGTATTGAATCCATGTACTCTTTCCTGGCCCCCGTCCCTGAGCAATTAATCCCCTTCCCCAAACATGCCCTCTCAAAATTCATTGTTTCCTCCATCTCTCCCCTCCCCCTCCTTACATGTGTGTTAATTTGGTGCAATAAACAAACAGTCTCTTTCTAACAGGAGTCCTCAGCAGCAAGAAGTTCTGCTCTGCCATTAAATTTCCTGCCTGACTCTCAGGACCCTGCTACACCTGCTCTTCTGCACACATTCTCCCCCTCTGGTCCTAGGTCACTGGCTGGAGCATCAGCTTGCTAAGGCCATTTGTAAAGTTCTTCAACGGCCTTGTCTAAAAATCCATGCCAGTGTGGGTCAGATTTTTGACACAGACTATTAATTTGTGCATATGGAACCGGCATTTGGGGCTGTACCTAGCTCCCACTGAAATCAACAGCAAAACCTCCATTGGCTAAACTGGGAAAAAGAACAAGCCCTACCACATGCAAGTCACATAACTGCATTTCTGATTTTTGCACAGGTATAAAAATACCTCCCTTTGTTTCTGAAACTGGGTTCTTGTCTGTAGTTCTAGTATCCCTGTATTTCTGTGATAGTGCAAGAAACACTCTTTATAGGAGAGAGCTCCCCAGCCTGTGCCTTTTTGACCAAGAAGCTTGAGTGCTGGAGGTTTCAGACACTCTCCTTTCGCTACCTCTTCTTAGAGGCTGAAGGTTGCTGTACCTCCCTGGGATGATCTGCCTGGAGTTTCCAAACAACAGTCTAGTTTTCAAAAGTCTGATGCTCATTTACAAGGTCCCTTTACACTGCTCTACCGGCATAAAGGTATTTTAATGTAAATACATTTCAGGGGGTGTAAGTTTCATTAAGAATAGAGAGGAATAGACATAGATTAAATACTGTATACAGAGCCTAACACTGTAAAATTCAGCTAGATAGGTTCTCCTTATGACAAACTCTTAGAAATATGATGTATTTTTATTTGCTGTGGGCTTGTCTATACAGGGAAATTAATTCAGATTAAGGTAAAGCGTGAATTTAAAGCAGAATAGCTATTCTTGATTAACTCCCTTAACCCATTTTAGATTAAGCTAATTCAGAATAAGGCACTTTTATTCCAGATTAAAAACATCTACACAGGGAGTTAATCAAGAACAACTTTAAATTTAAATCCAATCTTAATCTGAACTTCCCTGTATAGACAAGCCCACAAAAAATAAAAATTCGAGCTGTCAAGGAATTTAAAAAAATTAATCGCGATTAATTGCACTGTTAAACAGTAATGGAATACTATTTATATAAATATTTGTGGATGTTTTCCATATTTTCCAATATATTGATTTCAATTACAACACATAATACAAAGTGTACAGTAGTCACTTTATATTTATTTTTATTATAAATATTTGCACTGCAAAAATAAAAATAGTATTTTTCAATACACCTAATAAAAGTACTATAGTGCAATCTCTATCATGAAAGTTAAACTTACAAATGTAGAATTATCTATAAAAAATAACTGCATTGAAAAACAAAACAATGTAAAACTTTAGAGCCTACGAGTCTACTCAGTCCAACTTCTTGTTCAGCCAATCGCTCAGACAAACAAGTTTGTTCACATTTGCAGGAGATAATGCTGCCTGCTTCTTGTTTACGTCACCTGAAAGCGAGAACAGGCGTTCGCATAGAACTGTTGTAGCTGGCGTTGCAAGATATTTACGTGCCAGATACTAAAGATTCATATGTCCCTTCATGCTTTAACCACCATTCCAGAGGACGTGTCCATGCTGATGATGGGTTCTGCTCGATAACAATCCAAAGAAGTGCAGACTGACGCACGTTTTCATCTGAGTCAGATGCCACCAGCAGAAGGTTGATTTTCTTTTTTGGTGGTTCGGGTTCTGTAGTTTCCGCATCAGAGTGTCGCTCTTTTAAGACTTCTTGAAGCATGCTCCATATCCCATCCCTCTCAGATTTTGGAAGGCACTTCAGATTCTTAAACCTTCAGTTGAGTGCTGTAGCTGTCTTTAGAAATCTCACATTGGTACCTTCTTTGCGTTTTGTCAAATCTGCAGTGAAAGTGTTCTTAAAACGAACAACATGCTGGGTTATCGTCCGAGACTGCTAGAACATGAAATATATGGCAGAATGCAGGTAAAACCCAGAGCAGTAGACATACAATGCTCCCCTAAGGAGTTCAGTCACAAATTTAATTAACGCATTACTTTTTAACGAGCATCATCAGCTTGGAAGCACGTCCTCTGAAATGGTGGCCAAAGCATGAAGCGGCATACAAATGTTTAGCGTATCTGGCATGTAAATACCTTCCAATGCTGGCTACAAAAGTGCCATGCGAACGTCGGTTCTCGCTTTCAGGAGACATTGTAAATAAGGATAGCAATGCGGAGATCTACAAGATGTGACTGGGATCGACTCCTCCCTGCTGGCACCATGGCAGAAGATCAATGCCTTGAACACCTTCCTGATCCCCCGTATCTCATTTATCCTGAGGGGATCTGCCATGATGAAGGTACCTCTGAACAAAACAGACAACACCATCCGGCAGCTGGTGAAGAAGTGTATGTTTCTTCCCCAGGGGGCCAGCAATGAACTGGTGTACATCTCGCACAGGTAGGGCGGTGCCAACATCCCTCGAATGGCTGATCTGTGCGACGTTGCCGTGATCACTCACACTCTCTGCCTTCTGAGGTGCCCGGATGCCATGGTGAGGAACATCACAGAGAGTGCTCTAAAGGATGCCGTCAAGAAGCAAATCGCCAGGACCCCCTCCAACCAAGATGTCGCCACCTACCTGAGCAGCTCGCTGGAAGGTGAATTTGGAAGAGACAGGGGAGTCTTTGCTTCGCTCTGGACTCGTGCCCACAATGCTACACGTCGACTGGAGAAGCGTATCAGCTGCCACTGGACGTGGTGCGAGGAACGCTAGGAGCTGGGAGTCCTGGTGCCACAGGTGAAGAATACAGATCACACTATCGTCACTCAGAAAACTAGAACCATGCTGGAGAGGACCCTGAAGGATGCCATCCACTGCCAATACGTGGAAAACCTAAAACGGAAGGCAGACCAGGGCAAAGCATTCGAGGTGACTTGCAAATGGGACGCCAGCAACCACTTCCTCCCCTGGGGCAGCTTCACCCGATTTGCCAACTGGAGGTTCATCCGCAGGGCCCTGCTCAACTGCGTCCCACTGAACGGAACCGTCTGCCACGGGAATCAGGACAAGCAATGCAGGAAGTGCGGCTATGCCAACGAGCC